GTCACATTGAAGTGACAACAGTGTTTACCTGTTATAGTCTGTCACATTGAAGTGACAACAGTGTTTACCTGTTATAGTTAATCACATTGAAGTGACAACAGTGTTTACCTGTTATAGTCTGTCACATTGAAGTGACAACAGTGATTACCTGTTATAGTCTGTCACATTGAAGTGACAACAGTGTTTATCTGTTATAGTCTGTCACATTGAAGTGACAACAGTGGTTACCTCTTATAGTCTGTCTCATTTTATATATATAGTCTGTCTGATAAACTGAAACCGTCATCTCCTTTAAGATATATTTACATGTGTCAGTTGTATGGCCCAAAATACGCTAAAAGGCAAAATTAATTGTAAAATGTGGGGAAAAAAGTGGAAAATGTTTCAAAGAACGTGTTACACCCTGTTTATCAACCTGACTACGTACTACACATCCTCCACACCCATTTCTGGTTCCATGATGACGCAGTCCCATGTTTCTATGTGAAAGGCCTAGACCTCTGACCCCCGTATAACGTTTCGGTGTAATCCCAAACACTTAAACAGACGGTTGATCTTACCCTAAACATCTGGGGAAGAAGGCCTTAACTTAAACCACATTCGCCATGCTTGGTCAACAGAACTATGAGTAAACTGATAAAGAAAGCATTAATTGGCAGAAGACCTATCATGGCAGTGTTGTAAGCCAGTGATCGCTGGCCTGGCTCTAATGACGTCAGTTCTGTCTGATAGACGCAAATACCTCCACTAAATTACCACGGTTAAGAATTAAAACAAATAAGCAGAGTGTCAAGTGCTCTTTATATCCTGTACGTTATAATTAGCGATCCGGACCTTATATGTTTGTCAGCATCATCATCTAAATTCATCCAACTCGTCACTCGTCCTTATACCCTATGTGTGCCCAACAATTGGTCCTTCACAGAGTATAAAGGACACATGTTATACGTAACAGATGTATTCTAATAATAATAGTATACAACATTTATATAGCGCCCTATATAATTTGTAAAATAACTCTTAAGCCTTTTACAACATATGGGTAATAGTATAACCGGTAGGTATAAATGTTAAATGCTTACAATCACCATTATACAGGGGGATCTGAGTAACCATTTAGATACAAAGGGGTATTTGTTTACCAATTTGGATACAAAGATATATTTGAACACCCTTCTGAATACAAAGGTATTTGAGTACATGTACCTAATTTGAATACCCATACAAACAAAGGGTTATTTCAGTATCCAGGGGTGCAAGGTGGTGCTGAATATCCATACAAACAAAGGGTTATTTCAGTATCCAGGGGTGCAAGGTGAGGCTGAATACCCATACAAACAAAGGGTTATTTCAGTATCCAGGTGTGCAAGGTGGGGCTGAATACCCATACAAACAAAGGGTTATTTCAGTATCCAGGGGTGCAAGGTGGTACTGAATATCCATACAAACAAAGGGTTATTTCAGTATCCAGGGGTGCAAGGTGGGGCTGAATACCCCATTGGATACAAGGGTGTAATTGAGGACACATTAAGATACACAAAGATGTTTGAACATCCACATTTGATACAAGAGGGTATTTATGTACCTTCACTGTGTACTAGGGGTTATTGCAGTATCTAGATACAGTTTTGGTGATTTAAGTAGTTCATTACTTGCCTAGATACAAGAGGCTATATGGCTATCCACCTGTGTATAAATAGCTGTTGGAACACCCTCCTGGATACAAGTGGGGTGGTACCTAAGGGGTTTTACTGAAAAAAACTGCAAGACAAGCATCAGGAAATATAGAACTCCCTCTTTGTCAGATGGCAAATACCGAGACATTGTCTATATCAAACGTCAACTGTCAATCATTTAACCGCAGTATGTCAACTAAGTCAAGGAGCATTTAGAGTTTGATTAAGGGATCAAAGCTGCGACCTTCTTGTGACAATGTAGAAATGAACACCTGAGTATTTATGGAATTATTAATATGTTTCAATAATTACGAACTTTAATGTGCTTGACAGAAATTATCATCTATCATCAATGCCCAAATATGGCAGTGTCTGATTTAATTCATCCTGAAATTTAGTACTTGAAACCTCAACATACCTTCATGATTTCTGCATTGTTTCAATACCAAAAAAAGTTACAAGTTATACCTCATACACTATATATGACATCATAAACCTCAGAGATATACGGTCGGCTACTTATCTAAGCACTGTTGCTCACTATTGGAGTGTACTTATCTAGGCACTGTTGCTCACTATTGGAGTGTACTTATCTAAGCACTGTTAACGTTGCTCACTATTGGAGTGTACTTATCTAGGCACTGTTGCTCACTATTGGAGTGCCCATCCTTTAGTACTGTAACTGTTATGCTTTCTGTTTTTTACATTACAGAATGTGTTCACAGATTTAGAAGTTCTTGCAGCCATATTCGCATGTGCAATGCATGATGTAGATCACCCTGGCTTGACAAACCAGTACCTTGTTAACACTAGTAAGTAACGCCCTGGATACGGGTTCAAATCAGTGTTCACTCTGTTTAACTACAAAATTCAACCTGCAGATTTCATAAGACACAAATAATCTTAATTGAATTTCTAGTCCATTATATTTCTGAACATATTTTTTTTAAATGATTTTATTAACTTTTACTTACTTTATTTGAAACCACATAAATATATAAAGTATAGATATAAGATCTGATAGATATAAGATGAAATTGCTGCCTTCATATTATTAAAATGTAACATTTATATCTTTTGCCAATAATGGTATCAAAAATTGCAATTTCTTTCTTTTAGATTACAAAATTACTTTAGTTCAAACTAAAATATAATCAAAGTAGCCTAGTAGCGGAGTTCCGTTACTCCTACATAGAAAGCAGGTCTCCGTGTCTCCTTCGTCGCGACTTCTGTTATAACTTGCTTTTTGTATACTCTGATTGATTGGCAGCCCTTACTTTACATTATATAAATGAAGCCCTTAATTCAGGTTACTGTCAAAGTGTTCATTTTCAGTATTGTACTTTTAATTATTAACAAATTTGGGGACAGCACTGTTTAACAAAGTCCTTTTTTCACAGGTTCAGAACTTGCCCTCATGTACAACGACGAATCGGTACTGGAGAACCACCACTTGGCTGTAGCGTTCAAACTCCTGCAGGAGGAAAACTGTGACATCCTCTTTAACCTCAACAGCAAACAGCGACAAACACTACGGAAAATGGTCATCGACATGGTACGTACTATTGTTTTAGAATGAAGATGGAATGGACTGTTTTGAACATTCAAAATAAATCGTCGGAAAGTCTTCTTCAAAAGTAACAAAAACAAATTGATGGTAGCTGTTTTAGTTTAGCAGTTTCAGCAATAAATAAAACTGGCCTTATGATAATATTTGTTATAGATAAGGACTTGATGAATGCATGTTTAATGGCACTGGCAACCGATGTCCTCTTGAACTGCCACTAGATGATATCACAAAGACATTTTATAATATAGTGGAAAATTATAGATTCTTTTTGTCCAAAACATTACATTCATGACAGTACCTACCAAAGATGGCCATTTACGATGAGGATGCCTATCTTCTTGCAGGTTCTAGCTACTGATATGTCCAAACACATGAGCCTGTTGGCCGACTTAAAGACAATGGTTGAGACAAAGAAAGTGGCAGGCTCTGGGGTACTACTGCTGGATAACTACTCCGACAGAATACAGGTAACTAGGACACACAGGCACTTGAATTCATTAGTAACTGAATCAGTAGATTATTTTAGGGGTATTATATTTTGTTTAATATTCTCAACTTTAAATGATGGATGGAGCAACTAAAGGGAGATAACAATCATTTGACAACTCAATCGATTTGGTGGCAATTTTCGGCTGTACTTTTAAATCTCTATTATAAAACACTAACAGAAGGTAGACATCATTTCTGTTTTCAAATAATACTTTCATCTTATGGAAATCTCTTTTTATAATTAATGGAGCACCACAGAATTTATCTTACTGACTTTCCATATTGTAGTTCAACATCATTGTAAAATCACACTTACAGTTGTTAGAGTTTATTAGACAGGTTTATTGATTTGTTTACAGGTGTAAGAGTTTATAGACAGGTGTGTTGTTTGTTTACAGGTGGTAGGTACAGTTTATAGACAGGTGTGTTGTTTGTTTACAGGTGAAAGAGTTTATAGACAGGTGTGTTGTTTGTTTACAGGTGTTAGAGTTTATAGACAGGTGTGTTGTTTTGTTTACAGGTGTTAGGTACAGTTTATAGATAGGTGTTTTGTTTGTTTACAGGTGTTAGGTACAGTTTATAGACAGGTGTGTTGTTTGTTTACAGGTGTTAGAGTTTATGGACAGGTGTGTTGTTTTGTTTACAGGTGTTAGGTACAGTTTATAGACAGGTGTTTTGTTTGTTTTTAGGTGTTACAGAACATGGTGCACTGCTCTGACCTCAGCAACCCCACCAAACCTCTCCAGATGTACAAGATGTGGGTTGACAGAATCATGCAGGAATTCTTCATCCAGGGGGACCTTGAACGGGAGAAGGGCCTGGATATCAGCCCCATGTGTGACAGACATACTGCTACCATTGAAAAAACACAGGTCAGCACAAACTTAATTAGCTATTCTTACAGAAAAATGATGCCTTACTCGTTACTTATCCTGGAAAAATTAAACAGGCATGAAGACTTTCAAACAAAGGGAAGTAACTGTTCTGAAAGTTTGTATCATGTAATGTTCAAACACATTTTGTCAAATTGTAAATGTTGATCTTTGTAATAACATTTTATGTATTCTTTTACCTTAGTAGGATGATAATCATAGTCTTTCTTTTCCTAAACTAATTTTTGTTATCTTTTATTCTGTCAATAGGTCAGCTTCATTGACTACATAGTCCATCCGCTATGGGAGACCTGGGCAGACCTCGTGTTTCCAGATGCTCAAGAAATTCTCGATACATTGGAGGACAACCGTGACTGGTACTTGAGGATGATCCCCATCAGTCCCTCATCCAGCTTCTGTTCCTCACGGGATAAAGAGGAGGAATCACGCTTTCAATTTGACCTTGAGGAGGACAGAGATACCCTTAGTCAGGAGTCAGACGGTGACACACCAGTGACGATAAAATTTCCAAGTAGTAGTAGTAGTACAAACACTGGAACTGGTTCAAAATGACAGACAGGTGGTGTGTTACCATAACAATGTTCATCTTGTGATAAAAATGGCTGATTGATCCCACAGGTGTTGATAGCTTGATGGGGTGAATTGTTGAGCCCCCAAATAGACTGGAGGTAGTATTCATCATTCATCTCGAGGATGCATGTTTAATCCTCAGCTGATGAGGTGACTCGTCAGGACTGTTACTAAATGCTGAAGGTCATTATAAAATGGCTGGTCTCCCAAGCTTCCTTTGTCCGACCGTGATAGCAACCACGACAACACAACAGTCTAAATGTTTGTTTTGAACGTTATTTAGATCTCAACCAGTTGTTACTCTTTTTATTTTTCATGTGTTAAAAACAGAAATGCTGAAACCTGAATGAATCTCGGTGCCAAGACATTATAACATTATGTGTTGACCTTGAGCCTACACTCTGGGCCAAGGTGATACTATATCCCAGCTAGTATGCCAGCTACTGGGTGTGACACACTAACATTGTGGCTGTGCCGTTTGATATTAAATTCTCAAGGGAATTGTGTGTTACATGCATGAGTGCATCTGGATTGATTGACAGTAGGTGTTTGTCCAGTCAGTTTTGTGACAGAATATTATCTGCTGGTTTTGATTGTGCTACTTACCTCTGATAGAACGCTGAATGAAGCGGACATCTTGTCAGCTTGGACGCAAATTTAGTCGTTGACGATGAAGATTTCGCGTCTCGCTCAAGGAATTTCCTTTTGATTGTGCTTAACTGTGAATTAACATTTCCAGTCGTAAAGCAGAACTTTATCAGCAAAATTACATATCTGAGATATGTTACCTTAGTGATGGACTAAACCACTACAGGAAGTGGTTACTATGGTTATCTGTTTGAAATCGTCCTTAGTACAGCACTAGTGAGCGATCGTGGATGGAATTCGTGGATATGCTTGAAGGGTTGTAACGTTGTATGTGTGATTGAACTTTTGTGCTGACTGTAACACTGACAGCCCTATAGAACTGCGAAAAGTCAGTGCTGCGAAGGACTAGGTCAAAATTCGCATTGTTTTGGTGATGAAACAGCAATTCAGGGCTTTCCTGTTGAAATACTTAGTACGCATGCTTACAGAGTGAACAATATTTGTCGAGAGTTCTTTTCAAGGCTTTGTGTGAAAAGTGTTTACAGAAGTGGAGATGTTTTTTCGAGAAAACGAAATGGAAAATAATACCAAATACTCGTTATTGACTATTTCTTATCGACGAATGCTCTGTATACAAGGACTGTTTAAGTAACTGAACATCCATCCACAGCACGAAGACCCATTATTTAAGTACCATACCCGTGGAGGTACGGAGGTTTTCTACTCTTTATGCTAGACTGAATGTACACTTGTTTTCTATACATTCAATTTGTTCCTTGTAGATTTTTTTCTTCAAGTTTAGAAGATATCAACTCACGTAATATTAACTAACATTGGTTAAATACTAAATCTGTTTCTCCATCATTTTAATGATGAAATGGTTAACACATTATTATGAAATTTGTTAAATTTTCATGATGACTGGCAAGCTGTGCTTTTTGTGATTTTGTAGAGCTCTGTGATTTTATGGCCTTTCTTCCCTGAACCCCCAATTTGTCGGTAGGAAATCAGGTCTGCTTTTGGAATTAAGGGTTGAAAGGGTTAGAAGAAACTAGGTACAGTTACATAGAAACCTGCCTTCCTCAAAGTTACAGACTCGGGTGGTCAGCTGTTCAATGCCTCAGTAACTTTTTTAAATTTGCAGCATAATCTATTTTTTATGCATAGATTTTGGTTATATTGAAACCTGATGTATGAGGATTTTAGTTCGATGGTGACTGGTGCAAATATTAAATCTTCACTTGTAGAATACCAGTTTCTTCCCTCAAGACATTTCAGAAAAATAATTGACTTTCACATGGCAGTATATGTAGAAGTATTAACACTGAATTACTGTGCAGATAATTTACACTATGGATTTTGTGTTTCTGAAAAGAACTACCAATTTTGGGCCATTTTTTTACCCTTTCTTCAAGTTTTCTAATCATAACTGAACATTATATAAGAACAATTACGGGCAAAACATTGTTGTGCTCTATTTGAAAATCTGGATAACAGAAATAAGTAATTTTCCCCCCAAAAAGTATGAGTTTATGGCAGGAAGACAGGTTTGACTGTAGCTGACTGATAAGTTTACTGTTATATCATTGGCTAAGTTATTACAGATACTTGTTGAGGTTTTCTGGAAATATTATACATTAAGAATTATATATATTATTATGAATAAAGTGGAATAAGTTCAAAGTAATATTTCTCTGCATTTGTTTATTTCTACAATCAACAGGAAAAAATATGGCTCAGTTGGTAGTGAACCTGCTTATTAATTTCAGGGCGATCGGTTTAGATTAAGCAGGCGATGGATTGTGTCTGTGACCTTGACCAAGAGTGTCATGTATTATCATCTGAATCCGATATTAACGTTTCTATACTGTAATAATTAATTGGTACGGCACTATACTGATAAATAAGCTGCTGGCAATGCAAACCCATAAAAAGAAAATCACCTGTACAAAACACTTGTACAAAACACCTGTACAAAAACACCTGTACAAAATCACCTGTACAAAAACAACTGTACAAAATCACCTGTACAAAAACACCTGTACCAGTATGAGTACACAACACCTGTATGAAACATCCTTACAAAAACACCTGTACAAAAACATCTGTACAAAATCACCTTTACCTGTACAAAATCACCTGTACAAAAACACCTGTACAAAATCACCTGTACAAGTATGAGTGCACACATGTATGAAACATCCTTACAAAAACATCTGTACAAAATCACCTGTACAAAAACACCTGTACAAAAACACCTGTACAAAATTACCTGTAGAAAATCACCTGTACAAAAACACATGTACAAAATCACCTGTACAAGTATGAGTACACACCTGTATGAAACATCCTTACGAAAACATCTGTACAAAATCACCTGTACAAAAACACCTATACAAAAACACCTGTACAAAATCATCTGTACAAGTATGAGTATAC